ATGTTCTGTAACTCCGCCCCCCCGGCTTCAGTGAGCATGCTCACAAGGCACATTTCAGTAATGTCCTGTAACTCCACCCCTTTACTCCAGGAATATTCTGTAACTCCGCCCCCTGCTTCATTGCGCATGCTCCTCTACCCTGTAGATCCCTATATAAGGAGGCTTTCATTTCTGGTAGAGTGATCAGACTCTTGAGTCTGCTGGGGGGTTTTCTCCACCTCTTCAAGCAATCAGAGTCTCAAGTCTTCAAAGAATGAGAGCTGTGACCCAGACCTGCCACACTGAGCTGTAACACTTAGCCATGCCTCTGAGCTGTGGCACTTAGCTGCGACACTGAGTTGTAACACTTGGCTGGAGCACAGAGCTGCTCCGCTCTGCTGCAACATTACCATCCCTTATACCCTCTTCTCCCTTTCCATTATTCCCTTCCTCTTGTATAATAATAGTCTCTCTACTAAGGAGATACATGTGATATTTGAGTAGGCTTACTTCACTCAACATGCTGGCTCCAGATCCATCCATTTTCCTACAAATGACAAAATATGTGTTGTCTATGGCAGAATAATATTCCACTGTGCATATATGCCACATTTTCCTTATCCACTCATCTACCTGTAGGCACCTAGGCTAGTTCTCCAACTTGGCTATTTTGAATTGTATCCAATAAACATGGGTACACAGGTATTCCTATAGTATGCCAACTTTAAACCCCTTGGGGTATATACTAAGTAGTATAGCTGGATCAAATGGTAGCTCTATTGGTTTTTTGAGAAACCACTACACTGGTTTCCACAGAGGCTGCACTAACTTACATTCTCACCAGCAATGTAGAAGGGTTCCTTTTGGCCCACCAGCAACATTCTACACACATTAATATAATTGAAATCATACTTTTATAGTGTTCTGCCATTTTCCTTTAGGTGTACATTCTATGCCATACCCGCTTGAACATGGGTGTGAAATGCAGAATCCTTGTAAGGAAGCTGATTTTAAGTGTCTAATGCTAATCCATCGCACAACTGTTTTTACTGAGCCCCTGTGTAGAATGGTCAGTTTCATGGGTGAGAATGGTGGATTTCTTGGAATGCCACTTGTCAGCAGCCTCCTTGTAAATCCAATCACTTAGTCTGTAAACTTCTCCCAGTTTAATCCAATGTCTTTCTGTACAACTCGCCTCTCTCTCATTGACATTGTTAGTCCTTAAAATGTCTATGCTTCCTGGGGCTTTGTCCAAAGCCCTAAATCTACCTCTAGTCCCATTCTCTCATCAGAGTTCCAGGTTGATTTGGAAACTGGACATCTTTCATCCTCCACTGGATGTCCAAAAGATACTCGCAGCTCAATCTATTCAAAGTTGAACACATCTCCTACCCACCTCCCATCCATGCCCCTCCCCTGGGTTACTTCCTTGTCACAGTGAATGATGTCAGCTCCCACTCGGTTGCTGAGAAAGAAGTCAGAACTGCCTCCTTGGTCTCGCTTGTCTCATTAATGACCAGCTCCTCTTGATTCTACTGCTGAACCTCCACACATCAATCCCCTCCTTCAGAAAGCTTCAGAATGTGCTATGACACCCATGCTTTTCACTGCCTTCAGAGTCAAATTCATTAACGTGCCACTGAAGCCAAGAGTCTTCCTTTACACAATACCATCCGCCTCAGTCCCATGAGGAATGTGGTTTAGGCACATGTAAAATCATTTAGCTTCGCATCACAGACAGCTTGCGTCCCATCCAGAATGCAATGGCCTCCCTGCCTCGCCACACATTTTTACATTCCCTTGGTCTGTCAACTGTAGTTTAGATTTGCTATCTCAATTAAGAATGGAATGGAGGACATTATGTTAAGTGAAGCTGGGCACAGAGAGATACCCCAAATTGCAAATACCCCACATTCTTACTACATGGAAAACTGGAAAAAAAGTCGACATCATAGTAGAGGTAACCATAGTACCACAGGAGCGGTAACCAGAGCCTGGGGAGATTGGGGACAAAGAGTGGACAGTGGCTTAACGGGCAGAGGTGCAGCTGGACAGGAGGAATAACTTCTAGTGTTCTACAGCATAAAAGGTAACTACAGATGACAACACTTAATTATATATTTCAAAATAGCTAGTAAAGATAATTTTGAATACTGTATTCCCAAAACAAATGAATTATGTTTGGGGTGAGGGATATACCAATTACTTGGACCTGATCACTACACACTGTATACATGTACTGAAATCACACTGTTACCTCCATAAATACAATTATTGTGTCAATTAAAAATAAGATATTTAAAAAATAAGAATGGGAATGCAAATGACTGTGTCTCACAGAATTCATCATAGGGACATACTAAATTTCAGACACCTAAAGCAGGAATTACTGTGGGCACCCCAAAAAGACAGACATGAAGCTGGAAAGTGACTGAATGCTAAGGCAGTTTCTCTTTCAGAAAATGCTTACTTCAGTAATGGTGACAAACCACTCCAAAACTCAATGACTCAAAACATTCAGCATTTAGTTCTCGTTCATGGGTGTTGTCAGTTAGCGATGCCACTAGATAAGGCTGGACTCTAGGTTCCAGGCTGTAGATGGGGTTCAGGTTTGCTCCACGTTTCTCATCCCGCATGGACCAACGGCTACCCAGGCTTGTTCTCCTCACAATGCATCACGGGAATCCAGGAAGTCAAACTGCACAAGCACAGAAAGCCCTCTGCTTTCAGCTCTATTAAAATTCTGCAGGCCAAATTGCCTCGGCCCAGCTCAAAGTCAAGGCATAGAGAAGTACACTACATCCACCAGAAAGCCATGGCCACTGTACAGAGGTGAACTGAGGACAATGATCCAGTCAACTGCATGACTTCTTTCCCTGCATCCAGACTAAAGCTTCTACCTCTGTCCCTCTCACACATGACTCCCTAGAATGCAAGGCCTATTCAGGCAAGATTTTGTTCTGCTTTGTCCACTACACTATGTTGGGTACACAGGTTTTGTGTGTTTTGTTCACTGCCATCCACCTAGTGCTCAGAACAAGGTCCAGTGTCTGGTAGACAATGAGATGCCCGGTTACCCCACACAGTGCCATTTGGGGAGAATTCTGAGAAGAGGACATGGATACGCAGACACCCTAGCTGTCTATTCCACATGATACATCACATCTTCATGATCTAGTCCATGTCCACCAACAGGATGCTAGTACAGTAGTGAAAAAGAAGCTTTAGGGACAGGTAACCCTAGTTTCAAATCCTGGGTTAGCTGAATCTTCATTTCCTATCTATAACATGGTAACAATTACCTTCTGGAATTATTGTAGGAGAAACTATGTAAAGATCTTTATAGAGTGCCTGGGACATAAACCCTGAACAAACGGTGATCATTCCTACCAAAAATGTGAAGTCTTGTGTCTATCGTACCTTTCTGCGCCCATAGGCGTATTTTCTACCATGTTCAACTTTGGTTGATTGTATTAGGGGCACACACTTAGTCCAAAACAACCAAACCACAGCTGGTCAGTGAGTACAACGTACAGCTCTTCTCCCCTCCAGATATGGTTTCAGTACAGCATGGCCCTTTCACAGAGTTGTTCCTTGCCAGGGACCTAAGATATCAAAAATTAGTGTAAAATGAGAATGGTTCCTCCATGGTGCAGCTCAATTATGGAAGTTTGCAGGCATGGACTTCTAGGGAAAATACAGCTGTTAAGAAAGGTCACCTAGCGCAAGTGCAAAGTGCAAGGACCCGTGTTTGATCCCTGGTACCAAAAAAAAAAAAAGAAAGGTCACCTAGCCGGGGATTTAGCTCAGTGGTTCCATCGCCTGCCTTGCAAGCGCAAGGACCAGAATTCGATCCCCAGGGCCAAAAAAAAAAAAAATCCTCCTCAAAGCAGAGAAGAAAGGTCACCCAAGCATATAATCATGGAATAAGGAGTAAGCTTAATATTCCAAGATCTTTGGCTATGAAACCAACTAGAAACCCATGGAGGCTCTTTGGTTCTCACATTACAGATGTTCCATGGATTAATATTGTATGTAACTGGGGCTAGGGGTGAAGCTCAGTAGTAAAGCACTTGCCTAGCATAGCAAGTCTTGGGTCAAGTCTCAATGCTGGCAAAAATAAATAATAAGATAAAATAAAGTTGCAAAACTGGACTCAAGCAAAGGTGACTTTATGCAAACTGATCCAAGGCACGTCAAAAAATTTTAGCAATGTTGACTTTGCATTCTATAACAAAATACAGAGCTTTCAGGTTGATGAACATAATAAGGAAAGAGCAGAAAGCTGGCAACACCTACAAGGTATCCTCCTTCCAGGCTTACCTGGCTTCCTCTGGTTGCTACTTGAGGTCTGGCCTGACCCTGATGGCATTTTCCCAGGCTCCTGTGGGTCTGACAAGTCCCATGAACCATTACTGGACAGAGGTGATCTCTTAAAAATCTTCCATCTCCACAATTCTATGACTCTGCTTCTTTTCCTTACTACTCCTCTACCTACAAAATACACCATAAGATCACCAATAAGACCCTTTGTTAGCCAGGCATGGAAGCACCTGTCTGTAACCTAACTACTCAGGAGGCTGAGGCAGGAGAATCACAAGTTTGAGGCCAACCTGAGCAACTCAGTAGGACCCTGTCACAAAATAAAAAGGGGTGGGGCTACATGCTCAGTACTCCCTGGGTTCGATCCTGATTGCTATAAAGAAAAGAAGAGCTAGGGCCGGGGATTTAGCTCAATGGTTTCACCGCCTGCTGCGCAAGCACAAGGACCCAAGTTCGATCTCCACTACCAAAAAAAAGGAAAAGAAAAGCTTTTGTTAGTAAAAGAACAACCCACATACACTGTGCTAAATCATACATGTTATCAGTGCCCATCTCACATTCTTCACAGCAAAAGCTTCCTTGCTGGGGCAGTGGAAACAGTGAATTTTTACATACTTGGTTATATATTGATGATAACCTTTTCTATCAAGTTTTTGTGTTGGTTTCATTTTTGTTGAATTCAGTCATATTTCACCTTATTAAAATAGTTTTGACTTTTATTGAGACATACATGAAATAAGCATCATTCATAATTAAATTCAGGTACAAAACCATGTGTAATTTATTCGCTTTTAAAAAACTTTAGCAGGAAACTTCAAATGTACAAAAATAGAGGGAAGAGAATAACAGATGCCCATCTAATCAACACCCCACTTTGGCAACCCCAAATCATGGCTGAGTTTCATCTCCTCCTTTATCCCATTTCCTTCCTCTTGCCCCAGATTATTTTGAAGCAAATCCAACACATCAATATAAATACATTATTTTTAATAATAGCTCTTAGACCAGATCTCACATTATCAGCAAAAAGAAAAATACTGGAATGTGCAAGGTCCTGGATTCAATACGCAGCATCCTAAAAAATAAAAGACCTAGTTAAAATGGCAAGATGCTCCATAATCTCACTATTCCTCCTCTTCAGTTTACTCAACACCAGCACTATAGCCCACAGAACAGAAAACCATGCTCACTTAAGATTTACTGAGCCCCAAGCAAAAGATGTTTCTTAATCCTATGGCTGGTTTCTGTTTGCACTTCATTAAAAAAAAAAGTACCGGGCTGGGGATTTAGCTCAGTGGTTCTGCCGCCTGCCTGGTAAGCCCAAGGTCCCAAGTTTGATCCTGGGTACCAAAAAAAAAAAGTACCTATGTTGAGAGGTGGCTTTTAAACTTTTTCCCACTTATATGCTAAAGTTATCAAGGTAAGTAATTCAAACAGGACAATGGAGAACATTAAAGATGGTAGAAAAGCTCTTTTAATCTAGAAGGATGGGTCAACCAAGAAAATAGAGTTTAGTAATATCCTGTTTGCTACAAGGGACAAGATGCCTGGGGGGGGGGGGGCACTGGGGATTGAACCCAAGAAACACTGAGCTACACCCCCAATCACTTTTGGGACTAGGTCTTGCTAAGTTGTCCAGGCTGGCCTTGAACTTGTGATCCTCCTGCCTTAGCCTCTTGAGTAGGTGGGATTACAGGAATGCACTACCACACGTGGCAGGACAAAATATCTTTTAAAAAGGCAAAGCAGCTAGGTGTGGTGGAGCACACTTGTAATCCTAGCACTCTGAGAGGCTGAGGCAAGAGGATCACAGTTCCAGTCCATCCTGGGAAAGTTAGCAATACCCTGTCTCAGCATAAAGAATAAAAAGTTGGGGATATAGCTCAATGTGTGATGACCCAGGGTTCAAACACCAGTACTGCCAAAAAAAAAAAAAAAAGGACCAGGAATTTAGCTCAGTGGCACTGCGCCTGCCTCAGAAGCGCAAGATCCTGAGTTCGATCCCCGGTACCAAAAATTTAAAAAAAGCAAGGGAACACGTCTCCTTCTTAAACTCCAAAAAATGTAATTTCTGAGAGCTTAGTCCAGAAATTCAAATTTATGTCATTTGCCTTTTAAATCCAAAAAGATTCTGAAGTAATTTGGAAGGGTTTACAAAGCTGGCTTTGTTATTCACAACTGATATTTTCTTTAACTCTATTAGAAATTTCACTTTTAGTATCTGAAATAATGCAACTAGATGCTTTCCTAGATGCACCTGATTTCATAGGTTATCTGATTACATTTCATTGGAAAGCATTATAAAGAATGACGAAGCATTATAAGGGGGAAATTGTGTACAGCACAATTTGTAAGCAATTAGAAGTCACTAAACTTCTCAATCTTAATCTTAAAAATTTCAATTTGCTCAAGCAAATCATTTTCTGAAATTCAACTATTAGAATTATGCTGAAAATAGAGAATTCCACTAATGCCCTTTCATAAAAATGTCAACATCTCTACCTTCACATGTACAACACAGAAGACGCCTGAAATGTAACAAGGGTAACTGAACAGTGATAACTGCTTTTGAGTGGTTACTAATAACCTGGAAAGGAATCAACAAAAATTACACTCACAAAATGGCTAAGACATATTTGCGTCTTGTGGCAACACCATGGATTGGCTAGCCAAAAGTCATTCGTGCCTCCCATCTTTTTTGCATTTCCCTCCTACAGAGGCTAGAAAAGAAAAAACAATACTAGATTTTAAATACTTACAACTAGGGATGGCCATGTGACACAGAAAGCCATGGAGGGCTGTCCTTTTCCAACAAAAAAGGCTAAGTCTTGCTAGGAGAAAGCCCCTTTACCTTTTGCCTTCCTCAATGTGGACAAAGACAGCCCCTTTAACCACAAAACAATGAACATGAACATAAAGGTCTACATAGCACGGCACGTGGGAAAACGAGAGGAGACAGGGTCCCTCGGCCACTTCTCAGGTCTGGACTGCCCCCTCCGGACTTCTTACTGCATAAAATATACAAACGCTCTCAGATTAAACTACTATAGTGGGTTTTTCCACTACTAGTAGTAAGTGCTACAGTAGGTTCTACAGTAGCGGTACTCTACTATAGCAGAGTTTTCTGGTTCTGCAGCTGAATACACTTGTAGTAGATACAAACATGAAAATCTCACATAGCATGGCTGAGGCAGGAAGATCAGGAGTTTGAGGCCAGCCTGAATTACACAGTGAGTTCCAGGTCAGTACGGCTACTTAGCAAGACTTTGTCTCAAAAAACAAATTAAGAGTTCTCAAGAAAATCCTCACCAGGGCCCGGGGATTTAGCTCAGCAGCACCGTGCCTGCCTCATAACTCCAAGGTCCTGAGTTCAATCCCCAGTACCAAAAAAAAAAAAAAAAAAGAAAATCCTCACCAACTCCTCAAATATTCTAAAAAGAATCTCAATAAGCTTGTATTTTTGCTTTCAACTTAAGGTGAGTAACCCATAACCAATGTAAAAAGGGGAGGGAACTGATACTGGTGAAACTCCAGATTCAAATGACAAAAGTAAGCTAAGCCAGGGGAGAAAAAAAGATGTGAGTAGAACCATGGTCTAATACAAGTTTTTCTTTTTTTGCTTTTTTTTTTTGAGGCAGGGTATCACGATATGGTTCAGGCTGGCCTTGAACTCACTATGTAGTCCAGGCTGGCCTTCAACTCATGACAATCCTCCTGCCTCAGCCTCCCAAGTGCTGGGATTACAGGTGTGCACCACCACACCCGGCTCGCTAATACAAGTTTTAGCTAATATTTCCTATGTACCAATTTCAACTTCTACAAAAGCAGTTTACTTCTTGGTCAGAAGAAATTCCAACTCAGATGTTAAGTCTGAACCTTCAAACTCGGGAAGCTTTCCTCCAGGTCATCAGCAAAGGCCTTATCCACTTCATGCAGGATTTTAATAAAGTCTTCCACCTTTGAGTCGAACAACAGAATCAAATAAACAGAGTGAAGGAAAAGGTGATTTGAGATACCGATTGCTGACAATAAAGCTGCTCTGTCTGTGGTTTCTAAAGAGTCCTGAGAGTCACACTGACAGATCCCCAGATAACAACCTGAGCGCTTCCTGCACAGTCCTGCAACATTATGAAGGACGCGACTCCTCGAACCATTTTGTTTCGCTCTTGAGCTAGTACTCATCCTCCTGAAGCTTCCCTTTAGGGCCCACTACGAGAGTTGTGTTACCAGCCTCCTTGCCAACACGTGCCCTCATGCCCTCAGTGCATAATACACTGTTGTCCGGCAAAGTTCCTATTTTGAAGTTGCCTCCAGTAACAGTAATGTGATGTCATTTGAAGAACCATAAAAAATCGCTTCTCGGCCTTTTGGCTAAGATCAAGTGAAGAACCATAAAAACCTACTATGTCTAAGAATCTTACTTTTGCTTAACATATATTTTGTCTACTTCAGAAAAGAAAGGGGTACTATAAATTCCATGTTGATTCTTTACTCTCAGGCCAATATTATGAATTATCCAGCAGCCATCTTTCCAACAGGGCACCAAGTCATGGGACGTTACTTGAAAATATTTTACTGTGATATGCCGCCCTCTATACGTTTCCCCATACTCACCACAGGGTTATAGAAAGGAAGGAGATTTTGAAATGCACAGGAACATTTCTGTTTGCTTAACTGGCCTTCCTTTAGTCCCTGAGCCACAGTTTCCTAAAACAAACAAACAAACAAACAAACAAAATCTAATGTCCAAAAAGGAAAATTTCTAAAGGTGTATCTGATAAATAAATACAAATCAGTGTATACAATTACTGACCTGATAGGCACTGGAAATGTTCCAAACTCAATCCACCATCATTAAGAGGCTTATGTAAATAAAAAATATTTTCCACCGCAGTCTGTATTTTAGGGAAGGACATTACCTTGGCTTTTCCTGCACAAACCAAACACCTGCGCATGGCCAAGACGTTTTTCTTCTCTCCTGCTGCTGACTCCTCCCTCTAAGTATTCAATTCTATTCTGCTAAACCTCTGCCTTATCCCACTCCTCCTCTCTCCACATACTTGTTATTTAGGCTGTCACCAAATTCCAGATTATTCCTGAAGTTAACCAACCTTAAGGGGACACTGGTTGGTCCCTGGCCTACAGCTTCAACCCCCTCCAATTCTTCCTATTGCTGTTAGAGTAATCCCTCTAAACTGAGCACATCATCTGAGGTTTAAAAAGACTTTAGTAGTTCCTCAGTTTCCTCAAGATTAAACTCAAATTCCCTAAACATGACAAGCAGGAATTGTCATGATATATTCCTGGCTTATTCTCACCCAACCTTCTTGCTAGATTTCTGTAACTTAAAATGCAAATCAAAATAAGGCATAAATGCCAGGCGTGGTGCACATGCCTGTAATCTCAGCACCCTGGAGGCTGAGGCAAGAGGATCACTGTGCATTTTAAGGGCAGCCTGGGCTACATAGTGAGTTCAAGGCCAGGCTGAACTGCATAGTGAGACTCTGTCTAAAAAAAAAAAGAAGAAACAAAATAAGGCACAATTTATCACCTGCTGAACTTAATATAAAATAAGGGTCAAGAAAAGGCAACATTTGTGCATGTCAATAGCATTTTGGCAATATGCAGCCTTTATGCCTTAGTTATCTGCACATTTATAATGTCAAACCTAGTGTTATAACTTCTAAAACACTAAATAACCCAAATCTGAAAAATATAGATATGGAAAACTAACCAAATAAACTCAATTCAGCAGAATAAAAACTTTTAAAAAGAAATATCCTTCTTGAAGAAAATCAGTGAGTATGAATATATCATAGTTATATTCATAAACATATTCTTCTAAGTATCTGAACAGAAAGAGTATGTTCAGGGCCAGGGATTTAGCACAGTGGTTTCGCCACCTGCTGCGTAAGCACAAGGACCCAAGTTCAATCCCCGGTACTAAAAAAAAAAAAAGAGTATGTTCAAAGGAAGAATATGCTAGTAATCACTGAACATACTCAGGAAGAATATTCTTTAGAAAAAGTTTGTCATTGGGCCAGGGATTTAGCTCAGGGGTGCCGCCACCTGCTTCGCAAGCGCAACGTCCTGAGTTTGATCCCTGGTACCAAAAAAAAAAAAAAAAAGAAAAAGTTTGTCATAAATTTTGAAAACTGATTATCTGGCTTTCAGTGAATTCATCTAAAGTAAGGAAAAGTACTTAAGAATATCAAGTATAATACACCTTACAAAAGCCTTTGAAAACCATATACTGTATACTAGATTACAAATATATAAAAATGCATATATAAATATGCTAAAGTACATCAGTTGCTATTCTAAGGTTACAAATTGATAAAACTTTTTTATTTCCTCAAAGTAATATATTGAAAAAATAATAGCAGAGCTGGGGATGTAGCTTGTGGTAGACTGCTTGCCTAGTTTATGCCCAAGGCCCTGCACTACAAAAAAAAGTAGCAATAATAAAGTTTAGAGCGTTAAGTCACCATACTTTTTTCTGCTAAAGAAACCACCAATACTTCTTTCCTACCTTTGTTAATGCCTGCAAAATATTAGAAAGAAATTCACATGAAATATCCTTTAAAATTTTCAAGTGGAAGTCCTCTTGGGTTAAATCAGACTTTTGAGTTTCTTCTGTGTTAGACTCTGTTGAGTTCTCTGGCTTCTTCTGACAATGTTCCACATTTTCTAACACCCGAATCAGACTGTCAATTAGAGGAAGATCTACTGTACAAAAATCAAGAGGCATGAAATCAGTAGAGCTCGGTTTTTCATTCATTCATCCATTCAGAATCAACTCATGCTATACACTGCATTTTGGTGCTACTGATAAAGTGGTAGGCAATCACCCTTTAAGAGGCTTATTTATTTATACAGTACTTCCAAATAGTAAGTAAATTAAAATAGACTGTTTTGGATTTTGGTGAATTTTATAAAGGAAATAAGAGGAAAATCTAATCAAGCAGCTCAGCAAGGGAGGGTCTCTGAAGAGGTGACAGAGAACCAAAGGATAATAAATGTCAACAGTGCAGAAGGCCCAGGAAAACACCTCGGGCAAAGGAAACACCAGGGAAGCTCTGAAAGACAAAAAGGAGGTCAGAGTGGCCCAGCCTAGGGAGCAAGGGGAGGGTGGCACCAGATGAGGTTACAGGGTGGGCAAGAGCCATATCGGGCAGAGCCTTGCAGGCCACAGGCCACAGAGAGAAGAATCTTAATTGTAGCTTTAGCTATCAAAAATATCCTAGGAGAAGCTTTTAAATGTTATGCCTTATTAGGTAAAACAAAAAAATTTAGTCTGATTTTAAAAAAGACTGAGCAGTCAATTTTAATTATCCTGTAAAAAATTATATAAAAACAAAATTCAAATTCAAAATTTACTGTAGCATGAACAGCTAAATGCTATCTCAGACTCAATCACTGATTCTCATTTTACCATTTCTGCTTAATAATTTTAACACCAAGGAAAAAGAAAGTTTTCTGTAGCATTGAATTAAGTACATTAATTTGAAAAAATTAACTTCTCATCCAAACTTAAATCATCTACATAATAGTACATGGAAATTACATTTTTTTAAAAATTAGCAACCTGGGCTGGGGATTTAGCTCAGTGGTACCACGACTGCCTCAAAAGCGGAAGGTCCTGAGTTCGATCCCCAGTACCAAAAAAAAAAAAAAATTAGCAGCCAGGGAAATCTTATCTTTAATTTCTCAACTCAGTGTCATCTTCTCAGATCACCTACTTGCCTGGCTGCTTTATTATGTTCCCCTTGAATTTACCCCTTTCCTCTTATGAATTTTTTTTGTATTTTTTATTACTATGTTTTACTTTGATACCTGCATATATTTTGGTTATATCTATCCTCCATTACCTGCCCTTACCACCCCACCCTCTCGCTTGTATTATCATCAATTTGACTCTAAGCCCAACTCCTGCTCCATGATTTCGCCATGGGTTGCATAGACCTGTCTACTGCAGCCTCTTCACTCTTGCTCACCCTATCCCTAACTCTGCTAAGCTGCTACTCAAGGCACAGGGTAGGGCAAGGAGGAGAGGTAGTCAGGTACTGGAGTTAAAGGAGCATCTTTACACTTTCTGCCCAACCACAAAACCTGTACATGAAGTATTAGTGATGTGGGGAGCATGGCAGCAAAGAACACTCAGTTCCTCAACATCAAGAAAGATACGTTCCTGAGGCCAGGGATTTAGCTCAGTGGTTCTGCCACCTGCCTTGCAAACGCAAGGTCCTGAGTTCGATCCCCAGTACCAAAAACAAAAAGAGAAAGAAAGATATCCTCCTAGTATTCCAACAATGGAAGCTTTTTAGGTTTTGTATATTAGGGATACTTGTCTTTCTGAATCATTTATTTCACTTAACATGATGATCTCGAGCTCCATCCATTCTCCTGCAAATGACAATTTTATGGTCTAATAACACTCCACTGTTTATATATGCCACATTTTCTTTATCCATTTCATCTTGAATAATCCAATAACAGGCAATGAAACTGAAGCAGTAATAAAAAACCCCAGCAACAAAGAAAAGCTGAGGACCTGATGGATTCAATGAATTTCAAGAAAGACCTAACACCAATATTCTTCAAACTCTTTAATGAAACTGAAAAGGGAAGGAGCACTCCCAAAGTCATTCTTGGAAGCTAGCATTATTCTGATAATGGATAAGATCCTGGTATCCTGATAACTAGATAAGGATCCAGGCAAAAAAGAGAACTACAGGCCAATCTAATGAATATAGACACAAAAATCCTCAACAAGTCACTGGCAAATAGAATGCAATAAATCACAAAAAAGATCATACACCATGACCAAGTAGGATGCATTCCAGGGATGGAAAGATGGTTCAACATTCGCAAATCAATAAATATAATCCGCCAGATAAACAGAAGGACAAAAATCTCATGATCATCTCAACAGATGCAGAAAGAGCCTTTGACAAAATCCAACATCCATTTATAATAAAAATCCTGAAAAAAACTGGAACAAAAGGATCTTACCTCAACCTGATAAAAACCAAAGCCAATATCATATTAAATGGGGGAGAAACTGAAAGCTTTCCTTCTGAAAGTAGGAACAAGACAAGAATGTGTGTCCACTATCACCACTCTTGTTCAGGAGCAAGAAAGAAATAAAAGGGATACTTATAAGAAAGAATGAAGTCAAAGTACCATTATTTGGAAATGACACGATCCTTTACTTAGAAGACCCAAAAAACTCCACCAAAAGACTCCTAGAATTAATAACTAAATTAAGCAATATAGCACGATACAAAATCAACACACAAAAATCAATAGTGTTCCTACACACTAATAATGAACTCACTGAGAAATTAGGAAAATACCATTAACAAAAACATCAAGAAAAATTCATACCTACAAATTAATCTAAGCAAAGAAGTGAAAAATCTCTACAGTGAAATTACATCACTCTGAAAAAGGAGATAAAAGAAGACATCAGAAACTGGAAAGATCACACACACAAAAAAACCAATACAGTCAAAATGACATCCAAAATTGATGTACAGATTTAACACAATCCTAATCAAAATACCAACAGCATTCCTCACATATCTAGAGAAAACAATCCAAAAATTCGTAAGGAACTAGAAGAGATCCAGAATGGCAAAAGCAATTCTAGGTAACAAAAGCAAAGCAGGAAGCATCACAATTCCAGATCTGAAGTTGTATTACAAAGCTACAGTGATAAAAACAGCATGGTACTGACCATGAAAACATGCAGATCAATAAAAGAGAATTAAGGAAGAAGAAACAACCTCAGGAACATTTAGCTATTTGGTCTTTGACAAAGGGACCAAAAACATGCACTGGAGAAAGACAGCCTCTTTAATAAATGGTGCTGAGAAAATTGGATATCCATATGCAGATCATTGAGTCTAGACCCATTTATCTCACTGGGTACTAAACTAAAATCAAAATGGATCAGAGACGTAAATGCTAAAAACAGAAACACTTAATCTGCTGGAAGATAAAACAGGTAAAACTCTTGAAGAGATAGGCATATGCAAGGACTTTCTGAACAGAACCCCAATGACATAAGAAATAATACCAAGAATCAACAAATGGGATCACATAAAGTTTAAAAAACTTCTGCATAGCAAAGGAAACAATCAACAGAGTAAAAAGACAACTTACAGAGTGGGATAAAATTTTTACCAACTACTCCTTATACAGAGGACTAACATCTAGAATATAAAAAGAATTCAAAAGAATAAGACACTCCAAAAAATAAAAGACCCAATCAAAAAATGGGTAACAAAAATGAATAGACCCTTCTCAGAAGAAGAGGTACAAATGGCCAAGAAAAAATGTATACTGCTGACCATTAGAGAAATGCAAATTAAAACAATACTTAAATATCATCGTCCTTCAAAAAGAACAGCCATCATCAAGAAATCAAATACAGTGGACCTGACTTACAAACTTGATCGGTTCCTGAGGGCTAGTTGCAACTCCAGTAGGTTGTAAGTCAACACAGCTGAGATCTGGATGTTTATCTGGGTACACACTATAGATAACAAGAGGCAGATGAATCTTCCATTAACCTAATTAACCCAAGTTGTTTGTATGTCGGGCCAGTCATAACTTGAGGGTCCACTGTAATAACAAATGTTAACAAGACTTCAGGGGGAAAAAGGAACACTTCTACATTATTGGTGGGAATGTAAACTAGTAAAACCACTATGGAAATCAGTATGGAGATTCCTCAAAAACTAAAAATAGAAATTCCATTTGACCCAGATATTTATCTTCCAGGTATTTTCCCAGTTAAAGTCATTATATTACAGTGATACATACATATTCATGTTTGTAGCAGCACAATTTATAATAGCTAAGTCTCAGAAATGGCCTATATGCCTATCAACAGATGAATGGGCAAAGAGAATGTGGTATTTATTTATACACAATAGAGTACTACTCTTCCATAAGGAACAATAAACTGGCAGCATTCATAGGAAAATGGATGCACTTTGAGACCACAATATTAAGTGAAATAAATCGGACACAAAAGCTCAAATACCGCATGGTTTCCCTTATATGAGAAACCCAAAATACAAATAAGAAGCAAAAGAAAAGACAATGGAAAACAGATCTTTTTCAAATGGGAAAAGGAACAAGAGATTGAGGGAGGGAGGAGGGAAGAAAGGAAAATGGGATTGGGGAAAAAAGCAAATTGAAGGGGGTAAAAAAAGCAAAAATAGAGATTTGGAAATGAGAAGGGGATCAAGAGTTGGAAAGAGCAGGGAGGGACTGGAGGGGTAGAGAACAACAAAAATCAGGGTGCGATATTTCTATGTACCACCTCCCCCAGACGAATGTAATCATTACATACTACAAACATGTAGCTTCAAAAGTGATATGAGAGCAGAAGGGAAGACTATGATTAGGCAAGGGGAAGGGGTTAGGAGGTGGGACGATGTAAGAGAGCAAAAAAGGGGATGGGCATAATCAAAATGTTATATGCATATAGGAAAATGTATTGATACCCAGTATTTTATACAATTAATATGTATTAATAAGAATACATTTTTAAAAATAAAACCTTAGTAACTAATAGACTATAATTACAATAAATAAATATAGCAATGGAACTGGAGAGAATACACAGAATTTAGAAAGTAGTAATGATGAAGTTGGATTATTCATTAAATGATGCTTAGACAACTTAGTAGTAATCATCTTGAAAAAAGTTGAAATCTATCTCACACTTGACACAGAATACATTCTAGATGATCAGAGATTCAACTGTAGCCACAGAAACAACTATGAAAGAACATGTGTTTACAAAGGAGAATATTCACACGTGAAAAATGTTGGCTTAAAAAGCAGGACCTAAAAAAATGTATATGCACATGGGTGTATGGTCATTATCTCTGGATGAGGGGATTACAAGCACTAGTTCCTTGATGTCTTTTTCTTTTCCTTCTTTTTCATACTGGGGATTAATTCAGGTCCTTGCACATGCTCTATCCCTGAGCTACACACACTCCCAGCCTTTTATAAATTAATGCTTTAATGCCTTTTATAAATTTTATAATTTTTTGTATTGAGCACATAATACTTTTGTAATTAGAGGGATAAAAGAATTTTTTTTTTAATTGGGAAAAATATGGGAGAAAGAAACCAAATGAAGAACACATATGGACTCGACTTTAAAATCTGATAAGGTCCAACTGAAGTTGGTGAGCAGAAATGATGCTTGCCTTTTTCTACTTTTAGATATTCCTGTTCAGCCTGTGAAGCATACATGGCCGACAACACTGAAAACACAGAGGCCAACACCGTTTTCTGTTCTTGGAGGATGATGGGCGGGTCATCAGATTGGCAGAATTCATGGCAGACCAGGTCAAAAAGTAAATTCCAAGTGTCTTTCCAAGTATCAGGACACTGTACTTAATAAAGATTATGAACAAAGTAGAAATTTTAAAATAGCAAAATGAAATTTAAAAATTGCAAACGATGAAATGAGTAACCGCAGTGCATCCCAATGAGCATCTTACCAATTGCTTGAATTCCGTCATCCACTGTGGTAAGCAGCTGTAAGATATGCATGTAAACATCAAGCCCTTCTGGGTTTTCAGAACTAAACACAAAAAGCAAAGGCACTGAATTAATAACTTTACTGTCTAGGGAATTGCAATCATTCATTCATTCAACAAATACTTATCACCCTGCGCTAGCCACTGCCTTAGTTGCTGAGAATTAAAAGGGAAACAGAATAGCTGGGTCTGATTGGCACACATCTGTAATCCCAGCACACTGGGAGGCTGAGGCAGGATGGCTGAAAAGTTCAAATCCAGCCTGGGCAATTAAGTGAGACCCTGTCTTAAAATGAAAACAAACAAACAAACAACAATATATAAAAAAGGCTACAGATGTAACTCAGTGCCAAGGTCCTGGATTCAATCCACAAAAAAAAAAGGCGAGAAACAGAACAAAATGACTCCTCATTAGCGCTTACACTGCAATAGGGAGAACAGTAAAGAAAAAAAACCTTAGTACTATATATTATCATCGTAATCACACATAGGACAAAAAGCAAAAATTATTTTTAGTTGTGTCCCACAAAAACAATAATCCACAAACCTTCTAGACAATACTTATCATTGTGGTTTACTTGAACAGTCAAAAAATAACTTCAGTCTTTTATATTATGAAAGTAAGGCCCACTGCACTAAGCACTGACAATACTGATGCTCTTAAAACTAAAATTAACTTAGTTCCCTAACTGAGAACACTACCACCATGAAAGTATAACTCTTCTGATCAGTACTTGGTACTCTCAGAAACTCAAAAGGTTGGTTCTTCAATTAGGTGAAAAGATAGTGAATAATTAGAACGGTGGTTTGACAAATGTTTAAGTATCCACTATTTTCAGGCACTATGTTAGGGGCTGGGACAACAGACGTGTGAAATGTTACCCTTACGTTCATAAAGTTTACTATCTAAAAGGAAAGAAGATAATTAATTAAAGGGGTAATTATAATAAAGTGAAATGAATTTAACACTGGAAGTTAGGTTCAAAAAGACAGTAAAGCAGGAAGACTTAGTCTGGAGAGTCTGGGAAGGTAACTTAGAGAAATAATGCTTACATGGAAACTTGAAGAAGCAAAGATGTGTTTGAGGTAGAGGAGACATACTGTGCAAAGGCTGGGAAGCATGAGAGCTCAGGTCAGCTGAAGAAGGAAACTACACGGCTAAAACAGAGTACAAGGAACAAGGATAGAAAGACATTGTGCAGGGCTTTCTAACGCATGTTTTTAAAAAAATTTGGACCATATCCTGAGGAAAGCAACTGAGAAGTCCAAAGCATGAAAGTGAGATGGTGTGCCCTTTTCAAAGAGAGCTCTGAAGTCTAGGCTTGGAAGAAACGAGTGTAAAAGGAGGAAATTCAGGTACAAGAATGTGCCAGTTGTCAGGTGAGAGGAACAGGAATGCCATGAATGAGATCCCAGAAAAAGTCAGGAACATGCCTCGAAGGATGACTGGTGTTGGGAAAAGAGTGGAATAGGAAAGAGTCAGTAATAGCCTTCCCATGCCTTCCTCATGATCCAAATGGGATAATAATTGCATCATTTATTGCTTCAGACTACTAAAGAATTTTGCAGAAAAGATGAAAAGTTTCATCCTCACTTGATAAAGGACATAAAATTAATAGCTTTTAATGTGGCATATTAAGCACTAGGAATGTACTATTGTTTTTTTGGTACCGGGGATCGAACTTGGGTCCTTGCACTTGCACAGCAGGCGGCAAAGCCACTGAGCTAAATCCCTGGCCCCTAGGAATGTACTATTAACCATTAAACAGATTAATGCAAATATTAATTTTCTATTAATAAATTACTCCAATGAACCATAAGAACTAGTAATCTCTCATGGAAAGAAATCAAAGCCCCAAATCAATCACCTATCCCAATCAGAGTATATGTAAATCTGATTGAAAAATATGGTGAATGTTTACCTATCTTTAAAAATTAGTACAGTAAAAGACACCCTGCCATTAATCCCTATCAAAATGCTCCCCCTTGCTTCAAACACAAACTCTGAGGGAGAGCCAAAAGTCACAGAGCCAAATTCAAGCTTGTAAATGTTTTTACAAGCCTGCCTTTCCATTCTATAGCGCTTGGCACTGTTTGATCACCTCATAAAGACAGTCATCAAAGAGGACTTCCAGAACTGCTGCAGAAAGTGGCAAGAACAATAAGATAAGCATGTTCAAAGTGAGAGAAAGTATATTAAGGGGGATTAATGGCAATGTGTCTTTTCCTTTCATATGTTTTTTAAATTTAAACATTCATTGCCTATTTCAATAACCCCTTATATACAAGGAGCCAGAAAACTAAAGATATCCAATATTACTTGAAGTTGTTAAATGTTCAATGTAAAATAAAACACAAGAAAATATTTCTCTTTGATTTAAATTACATAAAATCGCAACGGTGTTAAGACAGTGACTACAATTAATGCTGAACAATCACAGGTAACCAAACGATATTAGAACAAGTACTTTGAACCATTATTCTTGCAGAGTAAAATACTGTCACCACAAATATTAGTAGTAAATCAAATCTAAATAAACCTGTCAAAAGGAAACTAAGACCTTATACTTATATTTCTAGCATCAGATTTTTCCAGAAAATCTGACAAAAAAGAGCTCACCTACCGTACTTGTTTGGCAGCTTCAAGTACACAGGGCACAATCTTAAACACAGGCTGCTCTTCAGAATCTTCCTTAGGTTGGTCCAGAGGTGGAGCAGCCCCATTTCTAATCCATTCCAACATTAGTTTCTCATCCAAATCAAAGAGCTTATCCACAACCTCCCCTACCTTCACCAGCAAGTCAACTGCAGAGAATAAAAGAGGCATTAAAATAAGAAACAAAACGTTTATAGCACCCAGGCTAAGCAAAATTCCTAAAGCTACAGCAAGAAAGCCTAATCTTGCCAAAGCAATACTTATTCTAAAGGTGATTTATTTATCCCATGTTTAAATTTGATTATCTTTCTTCATTTTTAAGTGGCAGATTTATCAGTGTCCTGAGAATTTGAGAATAAATTTTATAGCTTGAATCAAACTATCTTCTCTTGCATTAGCCTTTTTTAAAAAATGACTTCCAGAAATAGTTAAGAGGGGAAAAAAAAAAAGAAAGAAATAGTTACACGGTTTCCTAACAAATATAATCTAAAGCATTTTTTAGATTACATGGTGACTTACCATTTGTTGAACTTGACATGATGAAACAAATGCTATCATAAATAGCTGGATATTCCCGGGTCCTTTCCACCCAGACACTGGCCACTTCTGTCTGGGAAAGGCAAGTAAGCAACAACCTACATGATAAACATGAGCTTAATATCTAGCTTCTAAAGGCGGGGGGTGGGGGGTGGGGGGGTGTTAATTGGAGAAATGAGAGAAAAGTTATTAAGAGATCGTGACACTAACATAGATTTATTGATGTGAAAAGGTGTCCCCTACACTCTGTTCAGTGAAACAGCAAGTAACAAAACAGCATATATAGCACTGCCAATTTTTTATTTTCAAAGTACACTAATGTGTAGAGATAATCTATCTCTGGGAGTAAGATGCTGACCACATTTTTCTTTTGGTTTATGAGGTTGTTTTTTTTTTCTTGTGCTATTATAAAATGTTTCTAAGTGGAAGAAATCAGGAAATGCTGTAAGTATGTAAGATAATGGCTATGTCAATTAGCTTGATTGTAGTAATCATGTCAGACAATATGTATCTATCTCAAAACATGATATACACTTTATATATGATTTTGTCAACCATATGAAACAAAAAGAATTTTTAAAACACTATAGGATCCAAGCATGGTGGCTCATGCCTGTAATCCCAGCACTCTGGAGGCTGAGGCAGGAGGACTGCCATAAGTTCGAGGCCAGCCTAGGCTGCATAGCGAGTTGAAGGTCAGGATGAACAACATAGTGAAACCCTGTTTCATACACACAGAAAGAAAGTATAGGAGCCTTTCAGACAGAAGTAGCATCCTCCAGTAATTTTCCAAAATGACGAACACAAAGGGAAAAAGGAGGAGAACTCAGTACATATTCTCTAGACCTTTTAGAAAACATGAGGTTGTTCCTTTGGCCACATACATGTGAATCTACAAAAAGGGTGATGGTGATACTGTAGACATTAAAGGAATGGGTACTGTTCAGAAAGCAAGGCCACACAGATGTTACCATGGCCGAACTAGAAGAGTCTACCAGGTTACCCAGCATGCCGTTGGCATTGCTGTGAAGAAGCAAGGGCAAGATACTTGCCAAGAGGATTAATGTGTGTATTGAGCACATTAAACAATCAGAGTCGAGATAGCTTCCAGAAACATGTCAAGGAAAACAACCAGAAAAAGAAGGAAGCCAAAGAGAAAGGCCTGGGTTCACCAGCCTGCCCCACCCAGAGAAGCACACTCTGTGAGAGCCAAAGGGAAGGAGCCTGAGCTGCTGGAACCTGCCCCCGATGAACATGGCATAAGCAGGGGACGTAGCTCTGCCATTCAGCACCTCATTAGTGGCCAAGGGTTTTAGGGTCTACTTAAAAATAAAAAGCTGGTCTGTGTTGTAAGGACGGTTTTCTTAATTGAACAGGTGTGTGGTGCCTTCACCTCAGAGAAATAAATATTTGGGGCAGATTCTCAGTGCACCTAGTTAGCTGTGTCAGGTCTTTGCTCTTCAGTGTTTTTCTTGCTGAAAGATGTGAGGTATTGTGCAGATGTATCCCCAAATGGCCAAATATTTATGAAATACTCATCTTGGCATGAAAATCCTCTAATTACCATGGGGAAAGGATGCATCAAAATAAATGGAAGTCACTATATGGCATTTCAGTTCAATAAATTATTCAAAGCAAAAAAAAAAAAAAAAAACCTACAGGAAATTCAAGAATTTATTTGCCTAGATTCTTTTTTGGGTGATATTAAAGAATCCACAAAAAAGCCCAGCATACCTGCTTGTCTCCAGCAGAGTAGGTGGATCTGAATCATATAAACAGTGCAATAACACTTGCCTACGAAACAAAACAGGTAACCCATGTGCTTCACATCTCTCCTTTCAAACACCAGAGTTTCAACTAATTTTTAAAATACTTTCATTATTAGATAAAGCATATATGCAGAGATGTTTATCAATGAATAATGACAAAGCAAACACTCATGTTTCTAAGAAACAGAACAGTGCTGCTTATCCATAGCTCCTACGTAATGTAATTCCTATGGAATGTGTCCCATTCCAAATCACAATTTTTCTCACCTAGAAAAGGTCATCTTGACTTTCCCAGAAACCATTTCCTTTCTTCGCTTTCTAGTTTTATTTTATACATATTTTTGGCTTTGCTTTTGAACTTTATATGAAAGAAATTATACTCTATTGTTTTCTTTTCTTTTTTTTTGTACCTGGGATCAAACTCGGGACTCCACTTGCGAGGCAGGCGGCGGAACCGCTGAGCTAAATCCCCTCTATTGTTTTCTTAAAACATCTTTTCTGTTTTTAAGTGACATACAATAATTGTACATATTTACAGGGTACAGGGGGATGTTTCAATACATGTATATACATTCTTGAGTCTTAGTTTTTTTTGCTCAATATCATACACATAGGACCCACTGTATTGTTCTTTGATTCATTGCTGCAGAATATCCCATTGCATGAATACAACACAACTTCCTTTTTCAGGCTACCGTTGATTGACATTTGGCTGGACTACAATTTTGGGCCATTTCAAGCAATACACCTATAAAAATATTTATATAAGGGATGGTGAGGGTGTAGTTCAGTGGTAGAGCACTTGCCTAGCATACATAAAGACACTACATTCAAATGCCACCACCACAAAATAATGATGATGAGGAAGATGATGATTATGCTGCTGCTGATGGGGTGCGTGTGTGTGTACCCTGCAGTACATATACACAGTTTCTCTTACTATGTACCTATGAAGTACACTGCTGGGTCACAGCATATACGTATCTTCCAAATTGACTGGATAATGCCCAAATGCCCAGCTGTTCTAAAGTAATTGTATACGTTTATATTTCATTAGTGCTGCAAATTGTACTATATTTTAAGATATGCATTAATTGAATTCACAAAATTTGTTAACATTATTTTCATTAACAGATTTTTGTTTGTGGTACCGGGGATTGAACTTGGGTCCTTGCACTTGTGCAGCAGGCAGCAAAACCACTGAGCTAAATCCCCAGCAGCATTAACAGATTTTTGATAGGGAACACTAGAGACCAAACAAAGTCCATGAATGACTGTAAATTACTGAGGAATAAATACCTTGAACTAGGACCTTAGAGTCTCTCCACACCTACAAGAGGTTAAGTACCTCTCTTTTAGAGGTCCAGGTACTTGAATTGTGTAATAAACTCTTATGACTCCGGCTCTGAGAAGCACAGCTGAGACCACTTTCCTTAACCTATTTTGGGTACAAATTTCTTTGAGATTCTGATTAACAGTCATGAACCCGCTGCCTAGAAAATGAATACACCCATCAAATTTTGCATGTAATTTCAGGGTGTTCTCAGACCTCCTATGGTAACCACCAGGGTTAAAAAACTCTCTGCCCAAAACTTTCCTGCTCATAGAAGAGAACTAGCTCTAAGCAGAAGTATGAAAGCCTTACAGTCACAGAGGCAACCCTTTATCTAGTAGTCCGTTGGCAAATGTTATTCCTTGATCTAAGTCAAAGCTCTCAGAGTGACACCATTTACTAATCTAGTTTCCCAGACACTAGTTCTATGAGTCCTTGGATTCCCTATGCCTAAACTGTTTTGCTCTCTGGTTACCTGTCCCCATCTCCAAGTTTGGTCCCACATATTCTTCCCGTAACTGCTCACCACCTATTGATGATTCAACTCATGAAAACAGGTGCAACTCAAGAAACAGGTGTAAATCCTGAGTCATGCCATATATAGTGTAGCAGCCCCAAGCCACCATCAACACAAAATGAAGTTCCTGGAGAGTACTTATAGAGACAAAGGAAACACTACATTTCATACTTTTCCATCTCTCCAATTATTATGGCTTCCTTGGGGGTATGAAATATGAACCTAATTTAAATATAATTATTAATGTAGTAAGTAAGACTTACCCAAGATTTTTATCATTGCTGAGGGACACACATATCTCCTGGAAACAGGCCATATTACCTAAAATTCCCACACAGATTTCCTGTCAAATTAAATTTCACAGGTCACCATGGCTCTGAAGTGAAAGACACATATACAAAAATAGTAACTTAAAAACTTTCACTAAGCCAAATTAGGGTGGAGAACAGGAGGCGGGATAGAGAAGTTAGGGTGCAGGCAACCTGACAAGTTCGTGGCATTTGAGGAGAAACAAAAGACACACAAAAGAAAGAAAAAAACAGAAATTTTAGAGATGAAATGAGTCCTAAGGGAATAATGCATATGGCTAATACATACACGGCTAATAAAGAAAGCACCCTGGTTGTAGCACAAAGTGGGAAAGCAGCACAAGATAAATACAGTAGGCAAAAAGGGTCAGGGTTAAATGCTTTGAGTGCCACGTTGAAGTGTTTAGACTTAACTGAGGAGATTATCTGGAGGTATGAGGGTTCTCAAGAGGGGAGATAACATACTGAATCAGTAATTTAGGAAGATTATTCTAGCAACAAAATGCATAAACATTATAGTGAAAAAAGACTGAAAGACATTAAGAATCTACCACAATAATAACAGTTAATGCTTATTAGCATTTCTTACAACCAGGTACTACTCTATTCTCCATGTATCATTCCATACAACTTGTGAGGTAGGTATGTTACCATTCCCATTTTTCAGATGAGGAAACTAAAGCGCAAGGAGTTAAACAACTAGCCTAAGATCTCCATCTAGGAAATACAGATCCAGAGCCTGAACATGTAACCAAGGTACCTTAATGCACCTCAGTAATCAAGACCCAAGAAGATGAGGGCTGCGATGGCTAACGGTGGTAGTGGCAGGCACCGAAAAGGATGAAGCTGAGGAAGGCTCTGGAAGAAGATGAAGGTAGAAAGCAGTTGAAACTGACTTCTAGGTTTCAAATGGCCTCATTCTCCTACTCAGAGACACTGGTCCCCCAGGAAAACTGAAGAAAGAGTATAAAGAACACAGAGTTCAAACAAGTGCAGTGTTTCCCAACTTACTGGAACCTAAGAATCACCCATGGAGCTTGTTAACGACACCAATGTCCAGTTCCATCCTAGATCTACTCAACCAGAATTTCTATGGTAAAGACTGGGAAGCTACTTGTTTACCAAGCACATGAGTGATTTTTATGATCAGGTGAGTGTGAGAATCACTGAGTCAGGATACATGGAATCTGGGACTGGACAATACAGCATGCAAGTAGCAAATGCCTGAAGGAAGTTGGAGATGTGGCACCAGTAACCAGAAGACAAGATGAAGCTCTAATCGTACAGGCACAAAGCTGCACCTCAACAGTGTAAAGAGTAGAGGAGCTCACTAAGGAAATGAATGTAAAGAAAACAAGGAATCAGATTCTGCACCTTTTTTGAAAGAGTCCATATTCAGGGTACAGGAAGAAAGAAAATAGCTGATGAAAGTGACAGTGAAGGGACTGCAGGGTTCAGAGACCAGAAAGGAAGGTAGTTTAAAAGCTCCAGCAGTAGAGTTCCAATAAAATATGTGTGTGGGGGGGTGTCAAATGTTGGGGAAGGACCAAAAGAGAATAGGGGCAGAAAAGAAATATATACACTTCCCTTACAGACAAAAAAGGGAGTAACTGCACTTCCCATCAAAGACCAAGTACCTCAGGAAACTTCAAAAAACTGCACAAACTCTCATGCGTGAACTATGGCTCAAGTCAGGACTTTTAAAGTTCACTGAGACGAAGCTTCCACCAGCATGGCCCCAGTCAGCACTAGCATGCAATGGCACTTGGGGTTATAAACCCTGGACCCTGCTCCTAGCCATTGGGATCAGAACCTCTGCAAGTGGGCTCAGCAGTCAGTGATGTGGGTCATGCTGAAGTTTAAGAGCCCAGTGTCCCAGGTGACTCTAATGGGGAGCCGAGGCTGAGAATCACTGCTATAGGCATGACCAGGAGACATATTCAACAGTATGACTACTTCCTAAAAGGCACCATTCCTGACATAAGTTTAGTTCTTTAAGTAGTAACCATGAGTCGATATATTTAAGAAGAAAATATATATTTTCTGTCTTACTATTTTCCTTGGGAGGAAAATAAAAATCACAAAACTGCCATATCTTAATGTAAGAATCCAAGAAAAACTGGATCCTCCTCACTCAATTTAGGTGGAGCATTCTACTAGATAAAAATTTCAGTTCAACATTCAATTTGTGAAAATGTAACACAGAATTCTACACTTTATTATCTCAGAGAAAAAAAAGCAATACAGTATTGTGTAATACTGGAGTCAGGCCCAGGCTGACACCCCAGCCCCACTTTGCTGTGTGACCTTGAATACGTATCTTAACCTGATACTCAGTTCTTTCATCTATAAAGTATTCCTCATAAGAGTAATAAAACCAAACACTCAGTAAACAGCAGTTATTCATAATTACAATTATTCAACAGATGTTACTAATTACCCTTCATATGCACAGCACACAGCAATTTAAATGAAAATAAAGCACAGGACAACTCACAGTACATAAATAAGGATCTCATTTAGTCTTTATTTACTGTTCTTGGGAGTTTACTATCAGCAATAACCACTAAGATCTTACTTATCTGGGAAGGTGTGAGAAAAAAATACCACCCTGAGTAAGAGATGTGGACCCTGAGAGAGGGTGGGAGACACATAGAGAATGGCAACCACAGTAAGTAGATGAGATGGGATGTACACAGATTCAGCTAAACTAGGAGGACCACGTTGGGGTGATTTTATGCCGCAAAAATGACTTAGATTCAGGCTGTGGAAATCTTAGGTAGCAGGCTAAGTTTAGAATGGTTTTTAAGAAACAGACAATTTTGTGAGCAAAGAAAGGAAAAACTGAGAAATAAGAGGTCAAGGGACTGTTCCCTGTTTTATCACATATGAGCAACACAATACAGTTATGACCATCTGATTCTCACAGTTTTAAACGAAAGTATTTATCTCCCTGATGTAACTCTTATAACACAAGTAGTGCATTACCTAGTAATGTTCAATAAACATCTGCTAATCTATTGACTTATAGCCAAAAGGAAAATCACACTGAGAAAAATGAAATGTACATACTTACTCTTAATCGAGGACACTTAGATTTGGCCAGTACTCCCATAAATATGTCAGGAGCATTAAATTCTTGGAGAAATAAAGCCACATCCTATAAACAAAAATGATATTTACTTAATAGACTGTTTACTAACCAGGAAGTCTCCATAACTTATTCAAACACATTTGCTGATTGCTAGGTATTATGTCAGAAGCTAGGGATAAGGGGGAAACGAATGAAACTCACAATTCATATCCTCCAAGAACTTAAAACATGATAAAGGAAATGGCTAAGAATTATTGCTGGGTCACATCCAAAAATCAGAACTTGTGGTTACAAAATCTTCAACAGAAAAAAAAAAAATTCTGATCACAATGTAACTCCAAAAGCCTCAAAACTTCTTCCTCAAGTTTGCTGTCTACCAAACAGGGGCACACAACACAGGTGAGTGAATTTGAGGTGGACACAAAACCCAAATCGGGCCAAATCTGGTCCAGGAATGTGGGATACAAAAACTAAATCAGTTAGCTGTGGGGAGTGGTGATGTGCATTGCAAAACATAGTCACAAGCCACGAAATGAGGCTTTGAGCAATGACAGACTTCATATACGACAGTAGTCCCATAAAATTACACTGCCTAGTAATGTCATGCTGTCTCAGTGTGTATGAGCACACTCTTGACATTCACAGGACAAAAAGGCATATACCTTCAGAAACAAAATTTAAGCATGTACAGCTCCTGGTACTTCACCCCCTGTACCACAAATGAGTTACAGTCTTTTCCTTGAAAGACTGGCCTTTTTTAAAAAAAAAGAAATCTACTAGCCACCTTTGTACCCTAGAATTACTTCAGAATTTCACTTCCAGCCTCATACCTGATCCATTGACATATCCCATACTTTGCAAATTTCATTCTCCATTTCTTCATCAAGCTCCATCACCTGCTCCTCATCATCTGAGTTGGATTTGGTGTTTTCAGGTGTAACAATCTTCAAAAATATGAATTAAAGAGAGAATAAAAATTGGCCACAGTACTTCCCCAAGTAATGTACTCCATAATCATTTAGAAGTCACAAAGAGTTTATCCTCAAAGTATCTTTTCTTGCAAAAAAATTATTTTTAAAAAATCAGTTTCTTGGGTAGATCTATTTATTCAACATCCATGAAGTACTACTACTAGGTACTGAAATTCGAGGATAAATAAGCTACAATCCCTTCCTTTCAAGCAGTTTAGAATTAGTGGGGGAAAGATATGTAAACCAACAGGCACAACCAAAAAGACTAAGTGGATCAACTGAATTGTGAACAGAGTTGTAGCAAAAATGATGGACCAATGATTTATTCCTGGAAGAAGGGGGGGGGTCACTTTATTTAGAAGGTGTTATTTTAGAGTTAAATCTTGTAAAGAGAATAAAACTTTGTCATGTGAAAAAGAGAACAGCATTCAAACTTAAACACAAGAGGTCAGAGTTAAGAAGTGCCTACCATGTCTGGGAATGTTGAAAAGTGGTTTTTTTGCTAGAACACAGTGTCATGGGCAGATGAGGCTGGAAAGATTAAGAGCCCTGGATACCACTCTAAGAAAAATACTTGTACAGACAGGAGGAACTAAGAGAAATATCAACAGCTTAAAAACAAAACAAAACAAAAAAAAACTGTTATTCTGCCAGTTGTGGAGAAAATGGACAGGACAGAAACCGGAAGCAGGGAAATGAGTGAAGGCAATGAGAGAAAAAAAAAAACGTTTGCTGAGAGCCTCCTATAAACAAACACCATGCTAAGCACTCTAGGATCATTCTAGTCTCATTTAATCCGCACAAAAACCGTACATACAATATTATCGGTATTATCATTCTATTCTATAAAAACTGCCGAGAGAAACGGAAGCCATGAGTGGTTAGGTGATGCGATCAAAGTCATGCACAAGGCGGGGGGGGGGGGGGGGGGTGGAGTCAAGTCTTGAATAATCAGAGCTGCACGATTCCACACTCGGCACTTATTTTATTACAACGTAAGTCTATGACATATATAAATTAGGCCTGGCCCATAAATACCAGAAATAGCAGTGGGATTGGGGTGCAAAACTCAAACAATGTATTTCCGCGGCGGTACTTTGGGAGAATTGGCAAAAGTGGGACACGACCACCGCAAGCGGTCCAACGTCCCCGCCATTCAGCTATGCTGCGTGAGGCGCCCCCGAGCGGCGCCGGTTTGCACACCTGGATGAGCCCGCTGAGGACACCGAAGAGCCAGTGCTTGCTGTAGACCGTGCTCCCGATGCAGTCTCCCCCGGCCACCTCCGTATCCTCATCCTCCCGACTCGGGGTCGGCGGCGACGGGTTACGGTCCATGACCTCGCGCTCCCAACGCTCCCGAGCTGCGCCGGAAGCCGAGAAGGAAGCGAGGGGCCTCTTCGCGCCCAAGGGCCTGGCGCCCGCTGTGCTGCTACGGCCACAGCGCCCCCTGCTGCCCGGAGTCCAGCCGACCTGCGGGTCCGCCCAAAAGGGATTTCCCTCATTCCATCGCCTCCCTACCCTGCCCCGCCCTGCCCCGCTCCGCCCCGCGAAAAGGGCTAAGACACCATCACATTCGTAATTGTTATTTATCACCCTCCCTGATCAGAAATTCGGTTTCTTTAAAAGCCCTTACCCCGCTTTGAGAAAGAAGACGAGAACAGGCCAGTGTCTCTGGTACACATGTAAATCTTGAAACCATGGTACCTATTCCAATTGCTTTCCGAACCCTAGACTCTTCAAATTGTCCCACCTGTGACGACTCGCCCCTCCCCTTTGAGACAGGGTCTCACTAAATTACCCAGGCTGGCCTAGAACCTGTGATCCTAATGCCTCAGTCTCCCAAGTAGCTGGGATTATAGACACACACTACCACAGACAGCTTTTGCCATTATTTCAGATGTCTGTAGGTTCTGGCTTCTCCCCGGTGTGAGTTGAATCCCAGGAAAAATAAAAGTCATACCTGGAAGAAGATCCTACTTGCAAAGTACTACTACTAGTTTATGAGGAAATAAATTGCCTTCTGTCGTGAATGGTAAGCATCCTGTCTCTAATTTTATCTTCCCTCAAATGACCACTTCACATGAAGCCTGAAATCATGAAAGGCTTACTCTTCTGGTGGCTACAGCCAATTTAGTGTCTAGACAGGTATGCAAGGTACTTTCAGAAAGCTCCAGGGTGCAGTGGCTGGCGTTCACACTGGCCAAGTCATCATGGCCATTTGCACTTGGCTGCAAAACAAGGAGCACATAACTGAGGCCCTAGACAGGGCCAAGCTCAAATCCCCTGGCCACCAGAAGAACACATTGCAAAGAATGGGGCCTTTACTAAATTAGATGCAAATGAACTTGAAGATAAAATGACTGAGAAACAGGTTATCCAGGATGGCTGTAAGGTCAAATACATCCCCAGTAGCTGTCCCCTGGCCAAGTGGCAGGCCAGGCCCTACTCTCATGAGGGCTTGCACTGTGGTTTACTTCCTTAATTACACCCACCAATAAACCCTACTTCCTGTCCAAAAGTTAAAAAAAACTCACCAACGAAAGGTGATCTCTGGTTGCAGTAAAATCAAAGGCATTGCGAAGACAGCCTTGGCAGCAGCTTCAAAAGCACAAAGTAAAGCTTGCCACCCAGCTCTGTAAATAACCATCACACAGAGGGCATCAGTAGTTGACAACACAGGAGTGTGTGGTGAATTCAGAACCTTTTGAAGGGGACCTGGAACTGATACCCAGATCGCTTCAAGAAAGGACTGTTTCCCAGCTATAGAGGATACATTAGCAGACTTCTCCCAGCTGTCGGCTCCTTCAGGGCTGGCCTTGGCTGCAGACAGGCTCTGTTCGTCCTGGGACAGCCCTCACCTGGTGACTGAACAGTGAGTTGAGATTGCAGTGTTCCACAAAGGCCTAGTAGTTCCACCTAACTCGGGACACTCCCACCAAGGCTTCTGGCCAGCTGCCCATGGCCTTGTCAAGCCTGCACAGTGCTTCTACTTCTCTCTCCATTCCTCTTTCTTTGCTTTCCTTGTATAATGCTTTATTGACCCTTAATGAATACCTTGGATCCCAAACCCTATGAAGCGTCTGTGTCCAGAGAACACAACTAGGACAGTTCGTACATCTCATTCCCACTTTGAGGGTTACCATTGATGTTTTTGAATCATCCAGGTGAAGGTGGTTCACTTTTAAGAGCATGTAACTGAGTTCAAAATTATGATTAGGCCACCCAGAAAATACTGAATCCGTGCCCATGGATAAATAGTCCAGAATTATCCTGAAATTTTTAGCTATGTAGTCAATTGCTGAGCAATGTTTGTTTGGGTCCACCTTGGTCTGTGTGAGGATCTGATGGGATAAGACAAGAAAGCGCTTAGAGCAGGGACTGGGCCATAGTCATCTCTTCATGAATGGAAACTGACATTATTACTGTCATCACTGACCAGTGTTAGAGAAGTGTAAAGGCCAACCAGCAGGAGGAAGGACATACTGACCACCGACTCTAACAGGGAGGATAAGGATCTCCAGGAGGCATGAACGGAGTGCCGGTGAGAGAGTCACTGTTATGGATATGGGGCACTAGCAGGTGACATTCTATCTTGGTCTGAGTCAAGGAGTGGGGCAAGAAGGAAGGGAAATGACTTTGAGAGTATTTTTTGATATCATGAGCAGGGACTGGTTAACACCAGATATCTGCAGGAAGGAAAGGGTGGGGAAATGCAAATACTCCTGGAACCAGACCTCCAAGGCAAGGAGAGACCAATGAGGAAGCCAGATTCCATGGAGAAGCAGAAAAGACACAGCTCACCGACAGAGCGGAAGCCTGGAGACAGAGCTGAAGCCTGGAGACAGAGCCTACAAGCAGTTTACTGCAAGCTGAGATACCAGGCCAGCAAGACCTAGGGAGGAGGATCTAATTTGGAAAAGAAACTGAACAGGGCTTGTGAAAACACCCTTCTCCAAGACTGCAGAATCTTAGAGTCATGGAAAGGGCATAACCTCGGGCTGTCCTTTCACGCTAGACAGGGTCACTGCCGGAGCCTCTGCATGATAACCTGGAGCACTTTTCCTTTTTCGATATTTTCTTTCAATTACCTTAGTGTCTAGCTTTTCCTGCTCTAGTAAAAAGGGGTGGAGATATTTTCTCCCCTACTTGCTAGAATAATTGGTACAAAATGGGAGTTATTTGCCTTTTAGAAGGATTAAATTTATCTATCAGACCATCTAGGTCTGCTATTTTCTTTGTGAGAACAATAAAATTTTCAAAATAATTATGCGATAATTCATATTTTCACCTCTTTTTTGGTATTTGTGATTTTTTTTTAATTTTTATTTAGTGTTAAACTTTATTGTTTAAATTGCCCCAAAGATTCTCTTAGCATTCTCATTCTATGAAATATATAATAGAGGCATATGTTGGTCCAGGTTGAGGTCCATGGATGGACAGGTAATTTTATCTCCAATTTCTATTCTGTAACTTCTATCTTATCTTTTTTTTAAAAAAAGTAAAATAGAGCTGGGGATTTAGCTCAGTGATTCCACCGCCTGCCTCCCAAGCACAAGGACCAGAGTTTGATCCCCAGTACCAAAAAAAAAAACAAAAACAAAAAACTAAACAACAACAACAACAACAAAGTTAAATAAAAACAATCATATTTATTGATCATCTCCATGGCCCATGTTCCCAGTAAAAATGTCTTATGCTCTTCCCAGATTGCAACAACAAATTGGACTTCACAAACATTTATTAAACATTTTTATGTGATCTAGCTTAAGTACTAGGGATATCAAATTAAGTAACTAGTTCAGCAAATGTCCCAGCCCTCAGAAATTCACAGCTGGATTTCCTTGAGGGCAGAGTGAGGAGGAAGCTCAGTACTTGCTAGGCAGACCTGCAGGCCGGAAGTGGTTGGGGTCTTTGCCACTCCGGCCCCATTCATTGGCAAACTGGTCAGCCCTCGAGTCTTCTGCTCCATGGCCTGTTAATCTCTGAATACCTTCCCTGGTGTCACTGTAATCAAGGCAGACAGACAGGAGATTAATCACTAAGCTGACAGGCAACAGCCTTGTCCTCTTGACTCCCCTTTCCCAGCATGGTGCTGAAAGGAACCCAGGTAGACCACAGAAGGAGAAGGCACGGAACTGACCCTGTGTGGAAGCCATGCCCTGCCCATTCTTACACTGGATGGGCAGCACCAGAGAGGGAGGATTAGGAATCCTGAACTCCCACCAGGCAATCAGACCCAGCACTGAGCCCAGAGCAGGAGCTTAGGCAAAAGCAGGAGGAGGCCCAGTCTCCACAGGCAATGCCTCCACAGGGAAGAAGACGCCCCCTCCTGGCTGTCTGAGGCCCTCACAGCCTACTCACCCAGGCATGGCTCCCTAAGAACCTGTGTTACCTGATCACTTTAGCAGCCCAGGCACCGCCAGGTCCCCGTTTGGCAGCATCGTAGTTCCCCCGGGCATGGAAGTATTTGTCTGAATTTTTGTAATTGGCTTCTCTCATGTCCCGGTAGGCTCGCCACATGTCTCTAGTCCCTGGGGAAAAAGAGAATGTTGAAGACGACCATGCCTCGGCAAAACAGGGGAATAAACGATTTTCTACAACGGACTCCAAAGACTGCAGGCTTTGACAAAGGCCAGAGAAATAAAGAAATATCCCTTTCCTTTTTGTCTCGCTGGGTTCATGATAAGGGAGTCACCGCGTACAAGTTTTGTTCCACCTGATTCCATTTGACTTTTGTGGCTACTTGGTTTTGACTGTGTGAGATGCATGTAAAGAAGAGGTGAGATGGTCTTTAAGGGCTATTTCAGCATACAAGGAGCCTCTTAATTGTCAGTTAATCTTGATTGTCAAATTGTCTGGATTCAGAGACTCCAGAAGAGGAACTGGATCACAGGGGTGCTATGCTCATCAATAGGTGGATCCGTGGAAGATCATGACTGCGTATGTGGCTAGGAGTCAGGGCCAGTCTGAAGAGCTGGGTCACTGGGGGTGCATGCATTTGGAGGGCGTATTTCTGCCTCGTCCTCTTCCCCTGTGCTCTACTTCCTTGCCACCATGAGGTGAGCAGTTTGGCTCCACCACAGCCTTCTGCCATGATGTTCTTGCCATGTTACCAGCCAACCATGGACTGAAACTGAGAACCAAAATAAACCTCTCTTCCTTTCAGTTGTATATGTCAGGAATTTTGTCTCAACAACTGGAAAGCTAACCAATACATCCTGTCTAGAAAGATCCGGGAAACCTTCTGATCAAGGTAGAGAACATGAGAGTCTGAGGGAGGGTCCGGACCTAATGTGGTCAATGGGAGAAATCCACCCTCATGGGTAGAGTAAGAACAACCCTATTCTGAGTGCATCTGAATGTCCAGGGTATATTTCTGAGCCTGGACAACTGTCAGAAGTCAATCAGCAGGATAAACCAGACACAGAAAAGGCAAATATCACATGTCTTCCCTCATATGTGGAAGCAAACAAAAGACCTCATAGTAGAGGAGAGACTATTAGAGAAGCAGTAGGGGACTAGGGAGAGGATGGAGGGGAAAGAGGTATACAGGTGGGTGGATATGATCAAAGCGTCATATACACATTTATGGGAATGGCACAGTGGAACTCACTAATTTGTACAATCGTATACATTAATAATTATAATTTTTAAAGAATTCAATCAGAAGGTGATAAAATGAGTTCTCTAAGGGAAATTTAAATAAACTGGATAATCAGAGGCAGAAAAGGGGCAACTGACCTCCCAGGTCCAAAACTTCACTGTCCTCCCAGGTAAAATGGTTTTATGGTAATAAAACCTCAGTGTTTTGCAGAAGAACTGAGAAAATATCCAAACAATGTCTGGAATATTACAAGTGCTCGGTGATGACTCAACTCTTCAGGTTCTTAGAAAGGGCAAGGAAAAAAAGAACAGGAACTAAACTATGCTAGTGTTAAATGAATCTTCAAATTTTTAAGTGGATGAGGAAAAGGAGAAAATCTAATGTATAGTTGGAATCATAACTCTATGATTTGTCTGTGAGGTCGTTGTTCCCAGACTGTATTTACTATGCATAAAGATGAAGCGGGTGTTTGGTGAAGGCCAGATTTCCAGGCTCCAGCCTCCCAGACTGTAACCTGGTGGAGAGAGGGAGTGGACGGGGCAGCCACGTTTCACAAAGCATCCCTGGCCCCAGCTATTCTCATGCAAGTGGTCCCAGGACAACCTTTGAAAGGCACTGATTAAGGAAAGAAAGAAATTTTAGCAGGGTATGTGAGAATTTACAAAGGATCAATAACAAATCCTTAAAGCAACCATTCAGAGGCCACCACAGAAATCAGCACCATCTGATTTTGCACCCAGAGCCTCCCACACGGGAGGCAAGCGTGCTGCCACTGAGTGACAGCCCAGCCCCAACGCCTGAAATTTTAAACGCTGCATTCTGAAAACAAAATCTCCCCACTCTGCCTAAGGGGTACATTTCCCTTACTGTTGATTCCAGGCCATATCCAGCCCCAAGAGCACTTTCAACAGTGGAATTCATTGTGTCCCTCACTGTGGAGGGAGGAGAGGAGTTGCCTTCCAAGGGCATCCCATCCTGGCTACTGGCCATTTCTCAGACTGTGTGTCCACAAATATCTCACTCTTGTTTTGGAAGCAGTATAGAAAATCTGAGAAGCAAGTCTACCTGGGTTAAATCCGCTTTTCTCTGAAACTTTGTTGGGTATCTTAAGCTCTTTTTCTCTCCGTTCTCTATGAGATCTACCTCACAGGATTAAAGAATAAAAACAAATTCTTCCAGTCCTGTAAAGCTCTAGCGCATACAAAAAGCTCCAGCTAATCTTGCTTGTTACTACTGCTATGTGGACGGGGGCTGTATTGGCTGTGCTCAGCTTCCCAGCGAATAGCAGTGGAGTCCACTTTTTTTTTTTTTGGTACCGAGGATCGAACCCGAGTTCTTGCACTTGCGAGGCCAGCGGTGGAACCACTGAGCTAAATCCCAGGCCCTGGATTCCACCTTTTAATGCACCACCTTCCTGGTTACACCAGGGACAAAGAAATGAGCTGTCCCCAAATTCCCACTAGGCGGCAGTAGAGTCCCGTTTGTAGTAAGAGAACTGACACCTGAATTCCTCATCTCTCCTACACACTTGCTAAAAAGTGGCCACGTGAACTTTATGTGGTCTCAGGCCAGGGAATCTCCTTAGAAGTGTGCCAGAGGTGGCTAGAAAATCAGGGAGAGTTGCTGTTATCAAAACCATGCTCCTGGTCTCTCCATTCATGGCTTCACTAGCACCTTTGCTGATTGGGGATGTGGAATCTGCTCAGGTGAACCCTTGG